ATTGTGATTTTTGTCATAATCGTGCAGCCCTACCTCATCATAAACAACAACAGTCCAATTTTATAAGCGATTAAAAAAAAAATGTAACGCAACGTCGCTAATAAGCGGACCTGGCAACACCGGTTGCACCGCTTCATACTAACCGAATTAAGCAGCCACCAACAGAGCCTGTATGTCAAGGCCTAAAACAAGCGAGCTCTAGCTAACGTGCTTGTCAGTCTTGTGATAACCCCAGTGAGCACTTGATTTACCCCTTGCTCTGTCACATGAAGGACATTTGATGTCATTCAAATGGGAGTCTGGAGTCTAAAACGATTCACCATTACGGCGCTGCGCCATATTATTATTACAAGGACTGAGGCCTGTCAGAAACGCCATCTCACCGCCTCCTGCTGCCCTTAACCCCTAAATAACACGTCGGTCGACCATCCCTCTCTGTGCCGGGCGTTATAGCCGCTAGTTCACGGCCGTGTCAGTCTCTCAGCTCACCTCGGAACCTCAGTTCGTGCTGCGGTTCTAGAAGCAGGACCTGCTCTGGCCTGGCCATCTCCCACTGCGCTTCAAACGCGTCGACTGCTGCGCTGACGTCCGCTCGAACTGACGGCGACAGGCTTAACGGTTGAGGCTGTCGATGAGGACTTCTGTTACTTTTATTGAAATAAAAACTCCACAAGGCAGTGGAAATAGCGCAGTGTTACCCGATCCACTAGCGACTGTTGTGATGCAGCAGGAAGAGAGGCTGGCCGTGACGTCACTGCCCCTGCAGTATGCACGGAGTAGTGGCGACTGATGTGAGCAGAAGGGTGTAGAATGAGGGTGGGGGTGGTCTTTATGGCTCTAATGTGTCTTCAACCATGTTATGGAAATGTTATGGTAACTTTGCAGTGGTATATTCACGTATGTGCATAATGTATTAACATACCATGACGACTAAAGAAAATGATTCTATTTTGCAGTTTTATAATTAAAAAGTTTGTTTTATTATATTATATTAATATGATATTAGGTTATATATTAAAAAGGTATTAAAACTGTTTTTAATGATAATATAATATAATAAAAACAGTTATAATACATAATATTATGAAGACATTTTTCCAATGTCTTAAATATAAGGGACATTAAAAATAAAATAAATATAAGAATAGAAAATGTAATATAAAAATAATATATTTTATATATTTTTGCATAATTATTTCACATTGATTAACCTTTTATTTAAGATATATGGAATATTTGTACCTCAAAAAAAAATTGACACGGCAAAATGTTTAAAAAGTAACTAAAAATTGTGAATTCTTTTTATTATATTATATATAATATAGAATTGTAGAATTATAATTATATTAATATAATTAAAACACACACAATAATAATAATAATAATAAGAGGATATTTGTAAAAATAATTTGTCACTGCAAAAAAGTTTAAATGTAACTACAAATAGTGAAATATTTAAAAGAAGTCTTCATGTTATTTGTGAACTACCCCCAAAAATTTGGTCATTTAATTTGGACTTGTATGTAGATTTGAGAATTTGTTTTTAGATTTTGCTTAATCAAGAAATGCTTAATCATAATGTTAGATTTTCAACTTAGTGTTTTATGCATACGACCGGTGTCGTATGCATAACACACTAAGTTGAAAATCTAAGTCTGTTCCTCAAAAGCAGTGAAGTAATCCAACGGAATAACTGGGAATCTAAGAATTAACATGAATGACATAATCCTCAGACAAGTTTCTAGATCACATTGTTGCATCAAGTTGAATTAGGTCAGTTAATTTATGCTCAGCTTGGCAGTTGAACACAAGCTCTTAGAGGGTCGTTTTACTTTCCTCAGCACAATTAAAAGATCAGCAGGGACCCCCCTGCCAAAGGAGACACATACCACAAGTGTCATATTTATATATATAGCCTATGGGCCAGTTTAGGAGGAACTTTCACCACTCCAAACTGCAGGCAGACATTTTTTATTTTTAACTAGAATAATTAGTAACTTGTCCCAGGTCAGATACAAACCAATAAACCTCAATGTGTATGTTGATTACATAACATAAAAAAAAAAAAAAAATTGATTAACTATACTTTTATTACTAATAAAGAGCTCAACATTTCCCTTTTGCACATTCACAAATGAACAAATAAAATTTTATTTTCAAGCCTTCTTTGCATGACAAAATAATAAAAGAGAAAAGCTAAATGGCAAAAACACTTAACGATTAGGTTAAATTACTTTTGTATATACTGAATTACAATGGTAAGTAGTGGTAAAGTATGACATTGCCTGAAAGACTGCATGTCAATTAATTCACACAATTCATCCAATGTGTGGTACATACAAGGATGTAAAGTACATAAGCAGAATTTCACAACTTTCTTAGGGCCAGCCCAAGACTGTTGCCATTGTTCTTCAACCTAAACACCACTGCAAATCACACCAAACGGCATATTATACTGTCTGACTCAAGTGCAGCATGTAGTTCCATTCAAAATCATTAATGCAAAGCATGTGCTCCCTAGCAAGAGGACAAGCAATTCAGCAAGTCCTTTTCAATTGGCTACGAAGTCAAGAACTTCAACCGGACTAAATGAGACGTTTGGTCTCACTGTGGATCACAGGCTTTGTACAAGGCAAAAAAAAAGACAGCTACTCTACAACATTTAAAGCTAGTAATGCATTTCCATACATTGTAAAGGCCCTTCAGTAACACATGACATTAGATGAGCGGTTTCCTTCTCCAATTAGTTTGACATGACAGAAAGAAAATAAAAAAGTTTAAGATTCTGGTTTGAGTGAAAGACACTTTTACTTAGCAGTAAGGTAAATTAGAGTCATTGGAAGAATCAATTTGAATGTCTTTCTCTGTGTAAACATCAATAGTAACTGCGCAGGACTGCAATTTTTCAAGCTATTTGAACTAGGGCAAAATTTTCCTAAGTATTGTTCCAAGTAATCCATTTAACATGCACTGTCTTCTAAAGGAAAATATTGCTGTGCTAAAATTCACGGATTAACTACAATTACTGTAATAAGTCTATAAATCTCTCTGCTATTATTACTGACAGCACGCATTTTGGAGGGGAAAAGTATTATTATTGCACTTGTGGATTCCTGAAAATAGCATGGCGCATTGGCATCACTGCATATAAAAATCACATAAAGGACGGCAAATGAAACACAAGACTTTGACAATTTCCATAATATTCATTCTGATTCACTAAACACATTCTATGACTCCTAAATGCCAATATAACGTGTCAAAACCATATGTAGTAATATTCGTGACAAATTTTTAAAGTACCACCATAAGACAAACTACAGAAGCCACATACTAACTTGTAAAAATAAGATGCTGTCACGTGTTATGCATTTAGATGAAACACATTTTAAGCACATTTTATCCTTAAAACTTTGCCATTGTGGGTATGCAGTTATGGAACCATAACATATTTATTCTATATTCACATATATGACAAAATTGTAAAAGTTAATGTTACATTTTGGTTGAATAAACCTCAATGCAAAATCTACATGATGTATAGAAAAGGAGCCACTTAACCACATGGTCTTGAACGAATAGTGTGTACCTTAATCCAAATCTTTTAAATTCTCAGATTGTCAAAAATAAAGTGTTTTCGGCAATTCTTAAGACTTTTTCTCTCAAATTAAGTGCATTTCTTCGACAAAACTGACAGAAAACATGTAGGCTCAAAAATTGAGTGACAGGGGGAAAAAAAGAATAATTTAATTTGGGGACAATTCAAAGCAAAATATTTGGCATAGCGTAACTACTTTTTTATGTCTTGCTCTTAAACATCTGAACAAAGACTAGTTTCCAGATACGCTTTTTTTTTATCCCTGTCCAGATAGTAAAAAGCATGTTGGATGTGCAGGCCAAATGTTTTTTAGTGAAAGAATGAGAAAGATGAAAAATGTTTATAAGACAATTAGGGCATTTGGCAAGACCTCACAAAATCACTCAATCCAGTAAAAAATGTCATAAAAAGGAACAGCAAGGGTTCTGAAGAGATCTGCCAACTAACACAAATGGTTAAAATGCAATTTCAGAAAGTATTCGGACATAATGCACACTTCACATAGTTCTGGACAAAAGCCTAAATCGCATCACTTCAATGGACAGAATTCCGGCATTTGGCTCCTTCCCACTAACATTACATTTCTGATATGGAAAACATGTGCAGTTGGAAAAGTTATCAAATCTAACACTTTGAAACTGCTATTCTTGTCAACATTTTAGAAGACTGGCCAACTTTATCTCAAAAGTGTGAGGGCTGAACTTCTCTAACGCCACAATTATGCACTGTAAGCGGTAACAACGGTCAGACATTTACCAGCAAACATAAAAGTCCATTCTGCTTGTTAATCCAAGAACAGGCTGGATCTGTAGCTAAGAATCTGGCAACCCAGAATGTAGCTAATTGGAGCAAATACGGTGTTACTACTGTTATCTCGACTTGCGAACTGATTAAATATGCAGAAGGTTTTGTTGAACTCACACATGCTGCCATCATCATCACTGACCTATTGAACTGCTACTACAAGATCCAACTCCTACTATGTCACAAATTTTTTTTTTGGCACATTTTTCATATATAACTTATAAACTCATCTCAAAATAGGGCTGCTAGCCACTGACTTTAGTTTTATTTTTTCATATACAAAATATAGGAAAGACAGAAGTGCACACAGCCTCATGTCTGGTCCTCCGCAACAGAAATAACAACCATATATTAATATTTATAATAGTAATTTTGTATTTGGGTAAATCTCACAAAAACATGACCGTGTCATTTTAACCTCAAAATCACAAGAAAAAAAGGAGAGATAATGAGGTCTACTTTTAGGAGCATTCATATTTTTTTATTTTTACATTATTTTCAGGACAATTAAGCACTTTTACATACTGTATTTCTGTATTCATGATTAATGTAATACAGCTATATTAATTACTGTTTTACAGTAAAAACTATTCTTGTCAACATTTTAGAAGACTGGCCAACTTTATCTCAAAAGTGTGAGGGCTGAACTTCTCTAACGCCACAATTATGCACTGTAAGCGGTAACAACGGTCAGACATTTACCAGCAAACATAAAAGTCCATTCTGCTTGTTAATCCAAGAACAGGCTGGATCTGTAGCTAAGAATCTGGCAACCCAGAATGTGGCTAATTGGAGCAAAGAATGTGTTACTACTGTTATCTCGACTTGCGAACTGATTAAATATGCAGAAGGTTTTGTTGAACTCACACATGCTGCCATCATCATCACTGACCTATTGAACTGTTACTACAAGATCCAACTCCTACTATGTCACAAATTTTTTTTTTGGCACATTCTTCATATATAACTTATAAACTCATCTCAAAATAGGGCTGCTAGCCACTGACTTTAGTTTTATTTTTTCATATACAAAATATAGGAAAGACAGAAGTGCACACAGCCTCATGTCTGGTCCTCCGCAACAGAAATAACAACCATATATTAATATTTATAATAGTAATTTTGTATTTGGGTAAATCTCACAAAAACATGACCGTGTCATTTTAACCTCAAAATCACAAGAAAAAAAGGAGAGATAATGAGGTCTACTTTTAGGAGCATTCATATTTTTTTATTTTTACATTATTTTCAGGACAATTAAGCACTTTTACATACTGTATTTCTGTATTCATGATTAATGTAATACAGCTATATTAATTACTGTTTTACAGTAAAAATAATTTTAAACTGTTACACAATGAAAAAAACATCTTATTAGTCCTAAGAATGGACTTTACCCTTACTTTATGCAAAATATAATTTCATATTTTTTTCACTTGATTTAACTCAAATGAGACATGAATATGACAGCTTTCATGAGATTCACCCATTTATATTTTTTATCATTCTTTTTTTTTATCATATACATCAAAAATGTGCAAAAATAGTGAGACAAGAACGCTGTGTTGCTTGCATTCGGAGTGCTGAAAATCTTAAAATGTACAGACAACGGCTTCACTAGGAAACTTCACAGAGTTTTGCAGAGGTTTTTGCACAGAGATGAGAATGAACGAGAGAGAAAGAGAGCAGGACAGGACAGTATCTGATCTGTTAAGCAGGTGTTTTCATTGCTGTCTGATTCTAGGTAGTGATCTAGAACAGAAATGGATCCCCAAAGACATTTGAACAGGGGCTGAAGAACAGGCAAGATAAGATACAACGACTGTGTGAGGGCATTTTCATCTTTTCTCAAGGAAGTGCATCAGGATTCAGACTATACATTTCATTTTTAACTGAACTTCTTTTTTGGCTCCAAAAGGAAGTTACGTAACTTGCCCTATGACATCACATTCTTCATCTGCTATTATCCTTGGTTACTAATTGAAAATAAAACAAGAGGCTGGAGAGGATCTGGCCAAATTGTTTACGACTGTGTCAACAGCAAGTGCGTTCCCTGGTCGACTCTGATGGCTGTCCACGAAGTTTGAAGCCCTTGACTGCAGACCCGCCATCCGCGTCTAAAACTGGGATCCTTTGACCTGTAAAGGAAATCAAATATAGATTATAATGAGCAATAAAAAACATACATGAAAAAATTCTAAAATGATTTGCTGTTTCAGTGCCAGCACAAAAGTGACAAGCACGGTGTCATGCACCCACAGGTTCCTCAATGGGGCAACTGCCAAGCTCCATGGTAAAAGATCAGTATCCACTGTAACCCATCCACTGCCCTGGGTCCAAGGGGCGAGAACAAGTATCCAACGAAGCACTATTCTCACCACCATCAGGATCAATTACAGATCATGCATTCATTATCATTTTAATAATAGATGGTGTTGCAATAAACTGCATTTATTAAAACTAAACCTGCTCGATTAAGAAGCTCAATCCAAGGAAGACAACATTTAAAATCAAAAGCTCTAAAATAAGTGATTCTGGATTTCTACAGCATTATTGATGACATAACGCACAGATGACTAGTTAGGATTTTACTCACTTATCTGAATGAAGACCTCATTGATGTTAATGGCATTTTTGGCACTGGTTTCAACAAATATGGCATGAATGGAATCAGCATAGTCCTTGGCGTCCTTCTCTGACACCTCTCTGGATAACAAGAGGACAAAGCAGCAGAGCACTAATAAGTAATCCGATTCATGCATTAACAATTCGGACATGTTTAAAACTCTCAAATAGAGTGGCGTGTTATTGTTATTCTGGATATTTGGAACAACAAGGATTTAATATGATAGCCAACATTTGTGGGAGATTATCTGAGTGAGCTGAACCTTGAAAAACTCATGTATTTGTTTTTGTGACAGTGGTGTATAACTAGCACACAACAGCATGTTGGAGGGAAACCATTGTGTGCTGGTGCTCTGTGCACCTGTCACCTGATCACAAGTGCTGATCAGATTGCACCCGTGCTACACGTATCAGGCCGGTCACACTGACAACAGATCAATTTTCAATTGACGCTTCGCCCTCTCTTATATCAACTGCCGAGCTGGTGATGTTTTCTTTAAACATTGCAATTAACTCGATTTTTGATTTTTCGATTTTTTTGGTTTGTGCAAAAGTCCCTGCCACCTTGCTAGGGTGTTGTGGGTGGTTGCCAGGGTAAGATTGTGGTAACTAGGGTGTTGCTATGCGATCGCTAGGGTGTTCTGAATGGTTGTCTACTAGGCCTAAATATATGTGGGGTCCCTCCATGCAAGTTTATGGGATTTGTGCCCACAAAAGTTATGCTTTTACTTAATATCATTTTAAATAGTATTCAATTTCTAAGCTGGTGTAATGATTTCAGTAACTGTATTTCCATGATGACAGATTTTTTACATCTGGAGCGAACCTCTTAAAATAGGATAAAAAAAAAATTATGTTTAAAAGTGAAATAAATGATGGCTGCGGATCACTGAGAACAGCACCAGTTGTGCCAGAAAACGGAATATCTAAGCTTTATGTGCCAGACAGAACAATTGCAAGAATTTTCCCTGATATTTATTGCCTGAATGGCTTGCGGTGCCATGATTCCTCAGATTCAATGTCTTGGTCTTTATGGTTTCAAAATGTAAAATACAACCGCACTGACAGCAGACTAACACTGCCAAAGAAAGCAATGGTGGACCAAGACATATCATTGGGCCTGTGGGAAGAGTGAAGCAATTTAAAGTGGAAAGATAAATTACAGACCGCTTAAGAGTGGATATCTTTTTCATCACAAGTTATGGTAACGGTACGTGTGTGAACTTGTTTTCAATGAGTCGAGACAAGTTGACAGCAAATATGCGGGTCTTTTCCCGACGTCAAATTGAGTTGACAGCCACTGCGGGTGCATCCCTTCAAGCTGAATAGAGAGGACAGGATGTGGAGTCTTTTGTGGCAAGGAATGGTGGAATTCACCTGGCATCGGAGAGATCGCATTTGTTGCCAGCGATAGCCACCACTATGTTGGGTGGTCCGTGCTGGCGAAGCTCCTTCACCCAGTTCTTCAACGTCTGGAATGATTCCTGAGTGAAACACAAAGAGATTTTTAAGACAAGCAATGCTGCTACATCATAAGACTTTGAAGTCATTATCTACTGGCCCTCATGTTGCTCAAACCCTGCATGATAACATTTCTTCCATTGAACACAAAAGGAGTTACCTAGCAGACTGTCCCAGCTGCTCTTTTCCATTACTGAACATGAATGCTAACTAGGGGCTGTCAAGCTCCAAAAAACACCATAAAAGTAGTCGTATGACTTGTGCATGATATATCAAGTCTTCTAAAGCCATATGATAGCTTTGTGTGGGGAACAGACTGATATTTAACTCACTATTCACTGAAAGCCTTACCTCAACCCATAACTCCTTTAGTGTTCCATAGGAAAAAAAAAAAGATCTTGCGTAGTTCGAGCGACATGAAGTTGAGTAGATGATGACAGAACTTTCATTTTTGGGTGAACTATCCCTTTAATGGCTTTACCAGCAGAAAGATTTGTGTTGTAATAATGAAGAAATATTTCAGTACCTCTTTAGTGATGTCATACACAATGATAGCCGCAGCAGAGCCCCTGTAGTACATGGGAGCCAGGGCACGAAACTAAGAGCGAAACAGATAACATGCAGATGTGAGAATAAAATGATGGCCTGTACTTAAATTTTTTTTTTAAAAAAGCAAGACTTAATCATCACTGATAACATCCCAACATCACTTCTTAGGGGCTGAGTGGTTGATCTCAACCTGCGTATGCTTATTATCAGAGCTTTGAAAGAATTTGTTCGCTTTGGCGGAGGTCTCCTTCAAGTTTCATGCTGAATTAAATGGACAACTGAAACACAAACAAACGCGTGTTATTCCAACTTGTTCCGTTCAAACAGAACTCTAGGCGGCGGTTAGGGAAAACCACGATGAAAAACCCTAGACGTGAGCCACTGCTAAAACCAAAAGGAGAATTGTGTTTCAGACGGCCATGCCAAGGAGGCTTGAGTTGAGGAACTGTATGGAAAGGCGTATCAACACATGTGGGAGCCATCAGGGGAAAGATGAGCGCGACGTGTTTGAAGAAGTTAGCGCTTAATCATTATAAAATAGCGTAGTTGGGTTGTTTGACCCGGTCATCAAAAATAGACCAAAAAAGGCTCTGATTAATAAAAACAAGCTGGATCCAGTATGCCATTCCTTTGAAAAAAGAGCTAAAAGAGGGGAAAAGTGCATTAGAAAGTGAATGATTAAGAGAGAGACAGGGTAAGGAAAGTAGACATGGCAAGAAACCCTGGCAGGTAGGCCTGTCGCAATAATCAATATATCGACTTATCGCGCAATATATGTACATGACCTCAATAATGTTTGGTGACGCAATATATCGCTCATTATATTTACTTAAAAATTTATGTCACCATGTTTTGTACATTCCATTTGTGCCTGTGTCTTTTGCAGCTTCTCTTACATAATGTGATGTAGAGATGCTAGTTTCATCTGCAGATATGGTCTTGTTTAGGGATCTGTGTCTTTGTGCAGGTTTTTTTTTATTTTTTACATACTTTCTTAAAGGTGGGGTATGTATCTTTTCAAAAATGCTTTAGAAAACTGAGTCGGGCCGAGTACCAAAACAAACTTGCAGCCAGTCAGCAGTAAGGGGCGTGTCTACTCATGATGC